AAAAGTCTCTATGAAGTCAACTCCAAGTCATTGATGAAACCCTTTGGCTACTAATCGTGCTTTATATCGAGCAACGGACCCGTTAGGATTCCACTTAATTCGGAAGACCCATTTACACCTGATGATTTTTGTGTAGGATGAAAAGGTACAAGAGTCCATGTGGAGTTATGGAGAAGAGCATCATATTCTTCACACATGGCTTTACGCCAGTGAGGAGACTTTTGGGCTTGAGTAATTGTGGTGGGTTCACTGGTCTCAGGAGAGGATTTGGTGATAGCATGCAGGTCAAGAACCTGACATGGTTTAAAGATACCACTTTTTGAGCGTGTTGTCATTGGATGTCTAGGAACTGGAAATTGTGTTAATGGTATGGGTGGTGGAGAGGCATCGACAGGGGTTGGGGTAGGCTGAGATACATCAGTGGTACTAGGTAAAGAAGGTTGTTGTGATTCGGAGGATATTATGTCAATAATATGGGAGGCTTGTGAAGAAGGAAGATGAGAAGGAATGGAGGGAGTGGGAAGCTGTTGAACCGGGAGACTAGATGGTGTGGGAAGAGTTTCATTTGAGGGGATCGATGGTATACTCCAGTGATGTATATTTGTTGGAGTGACCGGCATGGTAGGAGACTCGTGGTTTTGAAATGGAAAGGTAGACTCCACAAAAACAACATGACGTGAAATAAAGACTTTTTGAGTTTTAGGTTCATAGCATCGAAAGGCATTATGTTCAAGAGAATATCCTATGAAGATGCAAGGTTTATATCTTGGCGCTATCTTATATGGGGCATAGAGACGTAGCCATGGATAACATAAATAATCAAATATTCTGAGTTTTTAAAGATTTGGAGATTTAGAAAATAGTTTTTCAAATGGAGACTAGTATTAGAGAACTAGAGTGGGCAAACGATTAATAAGGTAGACGACAGTTTGAAAGGCTACAGACCAAAAAGTTGTTGGCATAGAGGCTTGATGTAGAAGCGTGAGACCAATTTCTACAATATGTCGATGTTTGCGTTCAGCAGAACCAACTAGTTGAGGAGTGTGTGGGGGTGACTTAAGATGTTGGATACCACAGGTTGAGAGATAGGATGTGAGAGCTTGATATTCACCCCTACCATCAGAGTAGACTGTTTTAATTATAGACTGAAAGAAGTTTTCGACCAACTTTTTAAAGTTGGTAAAAATTGTTGAAACTTCTGACTTATGATGGAGAGGATAAATCCATGTGTACTTAGTAAAATAGTCTACAGAAACGACATAAAATCTAAACTTGTCAAAGGAAGTGATGGGAGTAGGACCCCAAACATCAATATAAATAATTTCAAATGATGTAGAACATGATATAGAAGAAGAACCAAAAGGGAGTCTATGACTTTTATTACTGAGACAAACATCACAATAAAAGCTATTATTTGTAGGAATAGAAAGAGAATAACGAGAAAGTAATTTATTTTGGATAGAGAGGGAGGGATGACCGAGACGACGATGCCACACATCAATTGGAGCTGCCACTAAGGAGTAAGCAGTGGGTTGTTTGAGTTGTGGAACGGACGGCCATTCATAAACATTGTCCTTACTTTGACCTTGGAGCAAGGATGCCCCTGTGTTCAAATCCTTGACAAGAAAAGAGTTAGAAAAGAATTCAATAGAGGTATTATTTTGTTTGCAAAATTAAGAAACAGAAATAAGATTGCATTTAATGTGAGGTGCACACAAAACTTCATCGAGTGTAAAAGTTGTGGTAGGTGAATTAAGCATTGTGGAACCAGTATGAGTAATAGGAAGTCATTTACTGTCACCGATGATGATGTCGTCATGTCCACTATAGTTGTTGTGGATCGACAAGTTCTGTAGATCAGAGGTAATGTGGTGTGACGCGCCAGAGTCCATGATCCAAGTATGATCAGTAGTGTTTGGAGTAGTCCACGCGCTAGAGTCGAGGTCAAGATCGACAGACCTTTGTAGAGTGACCGACTTTATCACATAATTGGCAGACAACTCTTCGTTGATTTGTATGTTGAGGGTGCCAGGACTGCTGATGATTGAAGTAGCCACCTTGGTTGTCGTGATTGAAATATTGATGATGTGGAGGAGGGGTTTGGTTGAAGCTCAAAGGTTCAGAAGGCATCTTGGTCAAACCTTTGTTGATAGTATTGTTATACTGATAACCCCTCCTCGTGGATTTTTGATTGACTTGAGCCATGATGGATGGTCCTAACAATTTATCCTCACGTTTGAGATATATCTCAAAATCAATCAGATTGTCGTAAATTTCTTCGAACGATACTGGTGAATCACATGCCCGTATTGTTGCTGCCAGTTCCTTGTACTGTTACTGATTATCTGCTAGTTACTTGTGTAGATAATCAGTAACAGTACTTCCCTCTTGTTTTATTTTTATAAGTCCGGATAGGAGACTAAGCATGCGAGTTCGTGAACGATTTGTTAGGGTGGTTTGCAACTTGCACCAGGCTTCGGCAGCAGTGTAACATGAAGATATGAGTGGGGCGAGGGATCCAGCGACCAAAGCTTGAATTGCTTGAAGAATGAGACAATCCTGGCGTAACCATAGTTTGTGGTCCGGATTTGATACTGGACTGGATGCTCCTGGGATGTTGATCATCGCTAGTGGACAAGGAAGAGAGCCATCGACATAGCCTAGAAGGTTATAGCCAAATAGAAGATTAGAAAATTGAGCACGCCAGGATGCGTAGTTGCCACCTTTGGATAATTTGAAGGGGATGAGGGTTGCTGCATTTATGGAGATAAGATTTGTATATGGGAAAGTACTATGATTCCCTGTTGGAACAATAAGTGGAGTAACAAAGATAGATGATGAAGACATGGAAGATATGGACTACTATGTGGGAGCAAGTAGAAATATGTAGTAATAACAAGGATCAAAAGAAAAATAAAAAGGAAGAAGTGTTGGTACTTCTGCAGTAAGAAGCCAGGAAGAATGAACAAGTTATGCAGTAAAGAGGAAGAAAAAGTAAGAAGTGTTGGTACTTTTCTGCGATAAGGAGGGAGGAAGAATCAAAAAAAAATTCTGCAGTAAAGAGGAACCAAGAGTGCGTGCTCCCTGCGATGCAAAGTCACCAAATGCGTTGACTGGACCCAACAAATGCTTGGCGCTGCACCGTAGGCTTACGGTGTCGAGACTAGAAGCAGGGAAGTTGCTGTCGAACGACCGATTGTGGGTGGTGAGTGGGGGGAGGAAAAATTTGACATCGGTGTGATGTCGAACCTCACAATTTCCGCTCTGATACCATGAAGAAATGAGAGAATGAAGAAAAGCACACTTCAATTAGTATCATATGAAGTCTATTTATAGATGGTGAAAGATAACTCCATTTTGGTCCTTCAACCATGAACCAAAATTCTTAAGCGAGAGTTAACATAGTACACTCATCAGACCCATATAAGTCAATCATGCTCATTGCTCACTTCTGATGTGGGACTAATGGGATGTTACAGCCACGGTCGGGTACCACCTGACAGAGGCCATTTTTGCAGGAGGGTGACAACTCATCAACGGTGAGGGACTCGGCACGATAGTGTGATCTACCCGGCACCAAGGAGTCGCCAATCAGCCTTGATCCTGACCAATGCCCACCAGCACTCCTTCCCGAGAGCTCGGGTACCTCATCATCCGAATCACCTTGCAGAATGCTCTCGACATCGGCCCGTGGACCTAGCCATGCTGACTCAACAGCCACGGCATTCAAATCAGTCTATCATCCACATGTGACATGGAGTGTTAAAAATTTTAAAATCATAGATCATGGCTAAAGGTTTCAATTGCAACGATAATGATAGAAAAATTGAAGGTAAGTTAATTGTTTTGTCTGATAATAGGAGGTAACTAAAAACGTTTAGCTTCTCATCGAGATAGATTAGATGCATGTTTGTATGTAGAAATATACACGTGAAATCTGATTCCGATTTCTCTACCAAACTTGATGACGAAAAAAGCTGTTGAAAACATGTTTCCACATACAAATCACAGTTGGAGAAGCAAACAAAAGTCTCATTTAGTCAAAGTCAAATCTCAGTTCCCAAGTCCTTTTTACAATACGTATCAATAACATGTCCTCTCTAAGATAAAAGCATCAGTTTAACATTGCACTGACACTCTCTGGCTTTCTTCTCACTCTGCCCTACTAACAATGCCATTACCATCTGAATCAGCTGCTATGTCATGCAAAACTAGTATATGTAAACTAGAAATAGGCAAAGAAAGGTTTTGATGATTGCCAATCCAATATAAAAGTTCAGATTGCTCTGGAAGTTGCCAACGGACGATCTGACAATGAATTAATGTTGATCAGTCACTGCCAATCATAAAGATTAAGTATATATAATGCTTGTGAGTTTAACAAGAGCAGCGAATTTGATACCTCTGTGTCAGCTTTCTGATGGCTTAGGGCTCGGCTGGTCTTGCCTTCTTCAGGGATTCGATCTTAGATTTCAGTTTTGCAGTCTAATCGACCAAAGATATCTCAGTTGGTGAACAGATTTTGAGAAACCAAAAGAAAACACATGAAGCAAAACAGAAGAACAAAAGCAGTACTGTTGCGGACATTCAAGATTTACTACTAGTATCTATATTTAGCTCTTCTAACATCAACAAGGAAAGCATAAACACACTTATATTGTCCATGATCATATTGAGTTCATATTCAACCAGACAGTAGTCTAATATTACTCATATCAGAAATTATACTGCACTGAAATGAAAATATGTTTGCAGATTCTTCCAAGGAAAACCAAAAGAAGTGCATTCTGCAGATTTTTGCCCTCAAAAATTGATGTATCCCTTACTATAAAGAACATTTGTCTTGTGTGGTACTTTGTCAGAATACCCTCCTCTATTAGATTGTTACCCATCTATTCTCTCTCTCTCTCTCTCTCCACAAGAGAGCATCATTGTGCAACGCTAAGATGACTGCCCTCATCACCAAACGATCTCTTACAAGTCGAAGCGTGGCACTCAGCTTATCTTGCCAAATACTACAAGGATGCCCGCAAAGCAAAGAGAAAGATGAGAATGCAGAAGAAAGACAGACAGAATAGTTCCTCGCCCTCAAGATCCACAACATGTGGGAAGATGCATCTCATACCTGTGATTGTGAAGCTTTGGTTTCGGCAAGCAGCCTCTTGTGCTGCTTTGCCAGTTGCGCCGTCCTCTTCTTGCACAACCACAACTGGTCTTCGTTGCTGCGCCTTTCCGTCTACAGCAAGACATCATCAACGGAGAACAGGAGCTGGAAAGGGGGAGAAGGAACAGGGACATGGCAGGAGCAAGACGAACGAACCGGGTACCATTCCTCGGCGACCTTCCTCATCGAGATGCGGTAGCGCATCCTGTGAATCTGCACGTTCATGCTGCGGACTTCATCCTGGCAGGCGAGTAGCTCCCTTTCCAAGGCTGATGGCCCGGCCGCATATGGATCACCAGGCGACGAGCTCTCGCCGATATCTTCGTTGTGCCTTGGGTGACGTTGCAGATGCCCAGGCTGGTCGGCGGCGTTGAGAGCATTATGTTTTTCTGAAGGGGCAGCCAGTGCTGTTGTGGGGGTAGGAGTACCTTCGGAGACCGATAAGGCCTGCAGCTGAGAAAGATCTTGAGGTCTAAGAAGAAAGGAAGAGATGGGGAAGGAGAGGGTGACAGAGGAGAGGGAGGAGTCATTCTTAATGCAAGAATGGGAGGCACGTCGTTATAACGAACGAGTCATTCTTGACAAGCTTAATTAGTAACGGCTCGACCTAATGACCGACAACAAACAGACCTTTTGATTTGGTCTTATGATAACATTCTTATTAATTTAATGAAATGACAGACACTATAATAAAATATTTTAACTAAAATTAATAATAAAACTATCCTAACTTTTAAAACTATTGGAAGCTCTTCGGTCATTCATAATAGTAGGTTCGCTTTAATGCCCTTGATACAAAGTGTTGGTGAACCTTTACATTGTGGTCGAGGTGTCGGCACGGCTTAGTCCAGTCTCGGATGTACAATGTTGCCCACATGGATGCTCGGGTGGTGGGGGCGAGTGTCGAGTCGGGTCGGGTTCGAGCTTCATCCCTCGAACGTGGTCTTCTCTCTTGGCGAGTGGTCTGCTTCTTCACCGTTGGACTCTTGCACACAGGTCGAGATCGAGAGGGGGATTTCCTAACTCGACCCCTCCAAAGCTTAAGTTAGCTTTTTGTAAAATGAGATAGAGTTAAGTGTTCGAAGTTTCCTCCCTCCTGATTAAGGAGGGTTAGCTTTTATACCTGCGAGGATGAGTTGATCGTACGGGGTCAATTAACTATGATCAGCTCCTCGGATGGTCGACTTTAGCTTTTGTACGAGCATCGATCGACCTACACGGATCGACATCGTGCGCTGCCACCCCGAGCTTTCCGGGACGATTGTACCGTGATGATATCGTTCATACAGAGGGGGCGACAAGCGATTGCCCGCCACGTGTGTGCTGTGCGCCACATCGTACTTGAGGTTCCACATCTGCATCGTCGTGTCTGTTTACTTGGGTCCATGTGGGCAATGTCAAAATATGCCCAATCACAAGGAGTGTTGCTTATAAATCCTCTTGTATATCTTTTTTACATATTGTCTCTTTTATCTTTCTTAGATTTACGAGAAAGAAACCTAAGATATCTTTAATCTTTCGAGAAGAAGGATTTCCAACGGAACACTCCATATTTCACTGCAAAGTTTTAGCTTCCTTAGTCCCATCATCAACTCGCATCTTTGTCAACGAAGAACTGATTGTTCCATAAGAAATCCTATCCTGAATCATCATCAAAGAGTCCATATCAGGGAATTAATCCAAAAAAGTAGTGTTGATCTTCTCAATCATGAAGCTGCAACAACGACATTAGAACATGTTAACAGCATTGAAAGAATAATATCAAAACTTAGCTCTCTGCATCGGAGCAAGTAAAGAGGAAACGAAGAAGATGTTCCTCGCAGAGTTGCTTTGTTTTCCTCACAGCAACCATGGTATTCATCCACCCCAATCATGTTATATAGACAAACATCATTAGCAGAATCACCATTCTAGCTTTGACCCATGCACTGGTCTTTCCCTTGCATGCGACTAAACTTATACCAACCCCTGGATTGCTTTGGATTCCAGAGACAATTCAAATCTGGAGACGGTAACAAAACCAAAGGACCAAAATGCATGCATATAATTTTGATCCTTTAAATAGTTTCCACCAACGTTTCTACGCACAAGAGGAAAAGAATAATAAAAGAAACTAGGAGTACTAATTTACATTAGTCAAAAGATAAAAGTACAAACTTTTTAAATAATAAAAAAATATTATATCTTAATAAAATTTTTCACACTCATCTATTTATTTTAATCTAAATTATTATTTTTTATTTTATTTAATCTTAACTATTTGAATTAATTTTATCACACTTCCCTAATTCAAAATAGTTGTAACTTAAAGTTGTCTTTAAAAAAAAATTAAAATTTTTCTTTCATCAAAACTTTTGTCAAAATATTGATAAGTTAATCTTCAATGTCATAGTAGTCCATTTGAATTTCTTCTTTATCAATCGGTTTACGAATAAAATGACATCGAATTTTAATATGTTTGGAATGCTCATAGAAGATAGAATCTTCGTTAGACTTATTGTTAGAGTAGATTTTAGTTAGTGCATCTATTATTTTGTTTTAGATATGCTAATATTCGAAGTCAAATTATTAAACATGTTGTACTGGTGGTCGTAACATACTCTACTTGAGAGAGCAATACATTTTTATTTTTTTTTATCCATAAAATTATACTTGAACCAAGGCTGTGCACAAATCTTAAAGTACTTTGTCTAATCACTATCAATATAAGAATATAACTTCAAATATTTTACCTCCTCAAATGCAATAATTAAGAGTTCTATTAATATATCTAAGAACATTTTAAGCTAGCTTTAGGAATTCATTGAAGCTTAATTATTTTTTAATGATTTTTTTCTTCATTTATCATGATCAATAATTAAAATCCTTGTCAGAACCAGCTTAACAAAGATAAGGTCATTTTCCTTTTTAGTAGACAATTGCTACATAGACTATAACTCCTTATCAATTTTGACATTTCTCTTCTCAAACTTAAGGCCTTTCATTTTTCTTCCTTAATATTTTCATATTCTTCCAAA